CCCCAAAACCCCAAAACCCCAAAACCCCAAAACCCCAAAACCCCTTTTAAATTTTATAAATTGAAGGTTATAAAATAATTTGGTGATGTCTAATCACCTAAAAGACAAAAAGCTAAGCTGATATTCTATAGGAAACCAAGGCAAAAATTAGAGAGGATCAGCATACTAATCAGGCTTCTGGTACTCTACCAGGAGGTAAATGAGTCCATAAGGATCCAGATGTGCTTGGAAAGATTGAAGAGTGTGAAAAAGTCATAAAAGATCTAGCAGAATCTAAAGAATTAAAATATAACTATAAAATTTTAGGTTATTGTTAAGACTTAAAATTTCAATGAATATTGCAAAATCTGGTGAGACTAAGCAAGAATGGATACTCATTTATCAAAATTCTTAGAGCATAGAGAAAGACTTGAATATTTATGAGGGATTTTAAGTGAGAGGAATAGACATCAAGAAACATACAAAGACCAGTAAAGAAGCCTCTAGCTTTCTTCAGCCCCACCAAAGTAGATTTCCCTCACAAGTAGGATCTAGACTTTGTCAGAAATATTTTTGTTTGAAAATGGTTAGAAATAAAGGATTATACAGTAGGATCCCACTTTCTCAATTATTTAAAGGTCTTCCTCTACCACCTCTTGTTCTTCCTATTCCCTCCATTACCCTCCTGAACCCTGTTCTTATTTGAAGGAGTTAACTATGCTAGCAATTCTGAATTCTTGATGACGAAATGGCGATTTATATTTTACCTAAACATAATTAAAAGCACATTAAAGCTAAACTTATAGGTTTAGAACCATTCTGCATTTTTAGGAGCATTAATCTGCCCTTTTCGATTTAACTAAATACTCTGAAATTTGAATAATTTCCTTTCAAATTATGCCATGCTGGTAGTCTTGACCACAAATTTTCTGTATTTTTGTTTGTAGACTTGCTCAATTTTGGCTATGGGATATTGTCCTTCTTTCAATTACTTTAAGCATGAGATTTAAGGGGAAAAGAGTGCACAGTACTAGAGATGATAAAGGATATGGACTTTCTCTAACTCTTTGTCGTTCTTTTCTCATTATGCTTTATTGTTGAAGTCAGATATGTATTCATTGACAAAAATTGGTATAAATTGGTGAGGAAAGTTTAAATTAACTTGTATTGTTCAAGACTTTATTGTCTATGAATCTACAAGTACAAAAATCTTTTCCTGTTGCTCCCAAAGTAAACATATGCTGAATGCGCAATTTTAATAGCTGAATGAGACTCGGTACAGCTTCCCTCTACCTTAGCAAAACGTACAGACCCAGAATATTCCTATGCTGCTCTGTATGTCTCTGTTTCTATCTCTCTTAACTCAGTACCTTCAGATGATGTTCAAACTCTTGAGTATGAAAGAGAGACTAGTCCTATAAAATTGATGGAATTCACACCTACTCAGCAGTTAATGAGGTCCTTCTACATGAGTGTTGCTTCATTAATACTCACTGGATCTCGGATGCTGTATTAGAACCATAATTCCTAGTTCAATTTTATGTCCAAAAAAAGGGGTTTTGGGGTTTTGGGGTTTTGGGGTTTTGGGG